TGGTCCTTATCCTGAGCCAGATCAATCCATACCATTCCATCCTAGCTCTCTAAGATCCATTCTAATACTGTCAACCCACCTACACCTTGGTCTTCCCTGTGGTCTCTTTCCTTCTGGTTTTCCCACCAATATCCCAAACGCATTCCTCGTCTCCCCCATTCGTGCTACATGACCTGCCCACCTCATCCTCCTTGACTACTATTATAATTACTTTGCATCCCTATTCTGCGAGTATTACTAACAGGTGAGAGTGTCGCGTTGTCAATCAACATAATTTATTCAATTTTGCTAGAAACCCCCTCCCCCAAGATGATTCTTCAATCGCACAAGGCGAATATCATGGTCAGTGACGTTTCTCAGTGGGAGGCCAAGGTTATCTGGGGCCCAACTGAGTCGACTGGGGGTGAAACATTCACAACACTGGCCAACCAAAGGGAAACAAAGACGTTGTCGTGTGTTTCGCTAAATAAGAAAAGCAGGAGCATGCTCTTCTATTGTAAAAAGGGTGGTGTCACTCTGTGTGAAGTGGACTGCTTTGAGAAGTGCCATGAGCGTCAGAGTGTATCATAAACTGTGAAGTGACACAGTCCAAACTCATGTACAGTCTGAACAGAATATTATTGTGTATAGGGTGACTATATTTACAATATCACCATGATTCAAGGTTGAAGAAAAAACAATGGGTAAGTCCTTTGGATTTCATAAGATATATAATAAAGATTATATTTTGCATTTCATGACAAAATATTCACAGTTAATTTTCGTTTGTAAAATTGCTCTTCTGTGTGTATGTAGAAAATTTTATTGTCTTTCAGGTTTTGTTTTACTATGTTGTATAGAACGGAAAATATGTATTTTTTTCTGAAAGTTTGCAATGTTGATTAATTAGGGTGATTTAAATACTGGCCGCAGAGGGCTCCCTGCAATTTAAAAGTCCATCTGTTAAAGGTTAATACAGGTTGTCTGATTTGAGAAAAGCCATTCTTAATTGTAAGAGAAAAAAAATAGAAATATAACTTAGAGTGTGATTATTTGGAAGAAACAGTGAAGTTAAAGGTTTGTTATTATAAAGGCAATGTGATTCATGCATATTTAGGATATGATGTCATTGCTATTCAGAAACAACTTATGGACCTTGCATCACTAGTAAAGAAAATACCAGGAAGGGGTATGTCTGTAGCATATTGTACAGTTTGCATTAATAAAGGAATCTTATAATGAAAAAAATAATTATATCAACTATGTCAGCAAAGAGATTCTTAACAGTCTTGATGGACAAATTAAAATAAATGTAAGCCCCATTCTGTATATATCTTCTGTGAAGATAAATTTTCCATTGGAGTTTGAAGTTATATTTAATATATTCCTGTTTATTTTGTAGTAGTGTTTCCTATTGCGATGACTTGATGATATTGAGATTGGATAGTGTTTCCTCAGATGTCTTATACTGTTTATGGAGATGTGAATTCAAGCAATCTAATAGGCATATTTGCTGTTGTATTACCTACACAGATCTGTCAAATGTGTGCTTGGGTTATCCATCTGATTTCATATTAGAGCTCTGACACAGTTATGCTGAGTTGGTCTGTATGGGCATCTTCTACATGCATGTTTTGAAAAGGAAAGAAAGCTTCCAAGTGTTCATAAACTAAGCTACACTCCATGATAAATACTAACTGGATTTCACATATCCACATAAAAATATTACTGATACTCACAGAATAATGATGCATTGAAACAAAAGACTGCTCACATGTTTGTGATCAATCACATAGTGTTAACTTTTGACAGTTTACTGCTTTGGTATCCTGTCATTGCATAATTTCAGAGCTTGTACTCAACATTACAAAATGTTATATATATATATATATTGTGATGTGCTGCGCTATGGCGGACACCCCCCCACCCGCCAGCGGTGACATGCCGAGCGGAGCCAAAGTGAGCCGACCCAGCACACTGGTCGCTATGCAGCGCGAGTAAACAGCGGTTGCTAGGCAAAGCAAGTAAACAGTGGTGACGTAACACAGGACGCTGCGGTTGCTATGCAGCCGTAAACAACTCCTGACAGCGTTGCTAGACTATCGGCAAACACGGCGTCAGACAACAGTGGTGCCTATTACGTAACTGTTTTCCCATTGTCCGGCTGTGGGTTTATAAGGGAACTACACAGCCGCCGAAGACAGTTCTCAATGCAGCAGCCTGTGAGTTGAGTGAGTTACGAGTTGGCCAGGGAAGAGTTTGCGGTCTAGTGTTTGTGATACTGCCAATGGCAGTAATGTTGAGCTTGTGAATTGTGTGATTGTAAGAGCGAATGTGAAATAAAATTCGCTATATCCAATACGGCATGAAGTTATTTGTCGCGTTATACACCCAACACATGACAAACTGGTGTCAGGAGTGGGATTGGACTTACACACGTGACCGACAGGATTCGAACTCAAGACACGCGACAATTTGGTGTCAGAAGTGGGATATGAACTTGAACACGCCACAAGTTACAACGAATTATACTGCCACATGATAAAAATTGAAGAAATGTTGGAACGTCTGCTGGCTGCCCAAGAAGATTTCATGGCAAAATTAGACGCCGACTCGAAGGCCTGGCAAGAAGAAATGGCCGCAGAAAGAGAAGCTACCCAAGCAAGAATGAGAGCCATCGAAACAAGGACGGCCGCCATGTGAGAGAAGAGGTTGCAAGCCAATATGGATGCCTGGCAGAAAGAGATGACGGCCTACCGAGAAACGACGGAGGCGCATCTAGAAAAAGAAGTAACGACGATAGCCTACCAAGAGATGGAGGTACGTCTAGAAGAGGAAAAGCCGGCCACAGTGGACACGAAACCTGCGGTGGCACAACAAGAAGAGGTCCCCATAGTGATACCGGTCGGAGTGACGATGACCTGCTGAGAAATGGGGGCACTTCCAGAAGAAGAGCCGGCCTCAGTGGACATGAAACCTGAGGCGGCCGACCAACGAAAGGTACCCATAAAAGACGCCGAAATAACGCCGGTTGGAGAACCGAAGAAGAAAAGGCATAGGGACCGAAATAAGCGAAATATGAAGAATTTGACACGGGAAAGTTGTGGACCCCAGAAGGAGTTGGCTGTAGCCCGCAGAGGGATGAGCTGCTGTGTGGAAGTTGCACAGCAAAAGAAAACCAGCAGGAAGGTGTCCCGCCATGCAACAGTGGCATGGCGTTGGAGGAACATCTTCAATAAATCTTGGACCCGAGGAGATTATGTATCCTGGATGAAGTTGGCTGCCATCTGCAGGAAGGTATCCTGTTGCGCGACAGTGGCTCAACGTTGGAGAAATGCCTTCAAGAAGGAAACTCCACAGGGAACCTTCGGATGCCGGAGAAAGGACTTGGCGCCACGGTCTTGTACCAGCAAGCGGCTGGAAGACCAGGAGGAACGACGACGTCAGAAAGCGCAGACCACACCTGAAGTGCTGTTACATTGACATAAAGAACTTCTCAGGGAAGACATAAACAAGAATTGGACACTGTGGGGGGGTCGACCCCCTCCAAAACGAAAAAAGGGAAACAGCCCATATGGGGGGAACTGGTAGTAGGAGCGCCAGTCTCCCTAGCAAGAATGAATGAAGACTGAATGAGCGACGAATGAATGTGACACAACTGGATCATCTGGCAACTTAGCAGGAAACCGCTCGAGACGAGCTGGTCTAAGGAGGGAGCAGTTGTAATGGAAGGAGAATAATCGCTACAAGGAGTAGCCAAAACAACAGGAGACCCACCAAGCACATCCTTGGAAGAAAAGGAACGGGGGTGCACCATTAGGCTGTTCGGGACCAACAGCCTTAAGGAGGGAGCAGTGTGACATGTTGCGCTATGCAGGACACCCCTCCCCCCGCCAGCGGTGACGTAACACCATTGGAGCACTGTCATTACTAGGGTAATAGGCAAGTCAACACTCCTTCTGTTACCCCGCCAGCGGTGACGTGGCCAAGGGATACTGCAGTTGCTATGCAGCCGTAAACAACTCCCAACAGTGTTGAAAGTAACATCTGTAAACACGGCGCCAGACAACAGTGATGCCTATTACATAACTGTTTTTTTCCATTGTCCAGCTGAGCGTTTATAAAGGAACTACACAACCGCCGAAGACAGTTCTCAAGGCAGCAGTTATGAGTTATGAGTTAGCCAGAGAGGCAGTCACCAGTTAATTGCAGTCTAATAATTGTAATACTGCAGACAGCAGTAGTTGTGAATCTGTAAATTATGCGATTGTAAGAGCAAATGTGCAATAAAATTCGCTATATCCCATAAGGCATGAAGTTATTTGTCGCGTTATACACCCAACACGTGACAATATATATATAAGGATATCTTCAGAAAATTTGTAACAAAGATAGGGTCCAGCGATGGGTTTCTGTGTTATGGTGATAACTTTTGGTTCCATAACATTGGGGAATTATTGAATAGCTAAATGACTGAGCTGTTCACTGGAGTCTTGTAATGGGATCTGGTTTTGTGTCTCAGAACAACAAAGTCCCAGACATCCCACCTAATATCACTTCAATTGAATTGTTTTAAACTTTTATTTGGCAAAGTCCTGAAACTGTTTGAATTTGTTCTTCACTGCTAACTAGCTTCATGTTTTGTCATCTTCCTTGTTGATAGTTACTCACTTGGTCAGGAAGTGCCCTGCCTTTAGGACCCAAAAGCCCATTATTATCAACATATACAAATTCTACTGTCAATGCAACAATTGTTTATTAACATAAATAGCGCTACATATTTCAACCCTAACGGGTCATCCTCAGGTGCTGCACATCACACAATCAGCCACTAAACTGCAACACTCACATTCCCATTTATATACATATGGTTCATGAAAGGTACTTTCTATATATATTCAGTTCATCAAATAGACTATATTAGACTAGACTAGACAGTGATTCAAACAAGAATCATACATGTGATTAAACAGTAAAAATAACAATTAGGATAAAACTAATTTAACAATTAGGTTAAAACTAAATCTAAAATTGATTTTTAAAAATGGTTTTTAAAAACATCATATTAATAAACAGTTGTTGCATTGATGATAAAATTTGTGTATGTCGATTGTATAAATGCAACAGGATACAAACTTTAAAAATAGCCCATTATTATGATCAATAAGTCCTGCCACAGGAGCCTGTCCCAAGATGCCTCAGTCCAGTGAACTCCTTCGCGCACTTTCTTTAAGAACACTTTTTCATTTTAATCCAATTTTCCTAAGTGGTTTCTTCTTTTGCCATTTTTCACCCAAACATTTAGTATGGAGATCATATCTGGAGTGAGCTGTATATCTTTCCTTGACTTAGAGTTTCCAAACTTTCCTGAACTAATATGAGGGGTATTTAGTTATTATTTTGTGAATATTTTTGCACTAGTCCTAAAACTTAACATTTTTTATTGCAAAAGAATAAATCATATCTTCTCCATGCATGTCTTAAGTGCTATCTGCAGTTTTTAAAATTATTATATGTTATATTTTTTAACAGATGGCAGCTCCAGCTCAACAGGCTCCACTGAGGCAAGCAACAGTGTAGAATCTTCTTCAGATGAGAATGCACCGCCAGCACAGCCCTCAGGATGTGATAATATAAGCCTGCAGATCAGGGCTTCTACCACATCACTGTACATCACACAGTCAGAGCCTCCAGTTTACACCAGGTAAATACTGATATGAATTAACCAGATTTACCCACAAGCAAATATCAGCAAAGGGATGTGTTAAAATTGTAAATTTCTCCCCGTTAAAATGGACAGATTTACAAACTTTAACTCTGGCCATGAGGGATCTTCTGAGATATTCCATAGTTAATTACATAATTCATGCCATTATGTATAGAGTGAAGCTTCCATTATTATTCAACAGATGTAACTGGTTCACTGTTTCACAGTCACTGCGTCCTTCTAAAACTTCTTTAAAAGTTTCTTACACCCATTGTGTCTTTTAGACCTTATTTAAAGGCTTTTGTACATTGAATTACATGTTTCAACTGATGTTGGTCATCATCAGGTGTTCAAAAATTGTTGGTGGATTCTAATATTCGCTGTGTAGTCCCATCTACACACTTGTGTATCTGTAACATGTATTAATATCTTATGTTAGTATTTTTTTATATAATGTGTGTTAATGTTCCAGATGATACTTGTTTGTGTGCTTACTATATATTGCAGGGTGTCTTTTTATGTTGTGTTGTGTGTCTAGACTACAAGTGTTTGCTGAGCTGGACTGAATCTGTCTTTTATATTGTGTGTGTCACTCACTGGTGTTTAATTCTTGAACATTTCAAATATTGGGTTATAGACATGAATATGTGCATCATTCATTTGTAATCTGTTTCTACAAACCTTATATATATATGGTATTTCTCCAATGTATTGAGATGCTTTTCCCTTTTTCTCTATTTTCATAGTATCAGTTATACTCCCGTTTGTGTGTCCCATACTTAAAATGTGATTCAAATATCCTGAGTTACTGTTGTTATTCTTAATTGCCTATACATGCTCTTTATATCTGGTATAGAATGTTCGGTCTATTTGCCCTATGTATTTTAGTGGGTAATCTGTACATTTCATTTGGTACATGCCGTTTTTTTCATATCTATGTTTGTGGTTCCAAGTTTGTCTTGGTGTAATAGGTATATCTTTACGAAAGTATGTTTTTACACCTTGCATGCCAGAACTTAGCCAATCACATACTCAGACACAGTGTCATATGTACCCTTATGTGTTATCTAATGTCTATATATATATTTATCATTCAGGTTTATTAACTAGTTTTCCAACTCTTGAAAGGGGAGGAACTCATTTTGCATTTGGGCGATTATGATACCAATCCCTTTTGACATCAAACATCGGCATGCAAAGTAAAAGCAGTCATCAGAAAATTCTTGAAGTTGAAGACTGAGAAATGAACACTTGAATTTTGATTGAGAAACATACTTTTCTTGTTCGACCTCAGAAATTCAAGACTCGCACATGGCTGATTTTTACGCAACTCCTCACCTCCTCGACCATGACTTCTGTATATCCTTGTGAAACAAAAACATCAGATTCTTGTTCTGTGACTTCTGAATTCTCTTTTTTGCCAGAAGCTCCTCTTCTTAACCCTGTTGCTGTGATATTCGACTGAAGTGGAACAAATATCCATTACACTTTGCTTTAGGCCACCTGAAGAAATAATTATCTCCTTTCTGTGTATCATTTATTTTTCACTGGGCTATGAAAATGCATTTTTGTTGGGTTTTCATATTTCTGCAGTAAAATTGCATTACTTTAAGAAAATATGTGAGAATATAGTGCACAATGAAAGGGTTAAGCATATGTGTTTTGTTATATGCTTACAGGCCTCATCGGATTTTGAATAGAGCAGCTTCAGTTCCTGAATCTCCAGTTCTCTTCAGTTCTTCCTTAATGTCAAGAGAATCCGGTCCTGACAATAATGTTACAGTCATTGAAGTAAGCACTCCGCAGCATGCTCATTCAGCTGTACCATTGGACTACCAGGGAGTTTTCAATTTTAATTTTGTTGAGGATGCTTTGGCCTCATTACCGGATTCTGTACCTACAGGTAGTTCTACATTCCATGAAAACTTGGATTTCAGAGAAGATATGGAATTTAATGAAACTTCGTATACACCCCCAGTAACACCACCTAGAACAGTGGAGAGGCAGCTTCAGGTGGTTCAGAGTGTGCCTACAGAACAGGGTTTTACAAGTAGTAATGGTAATCTTGATAACAGCCAAATAGAGGTCACTGATTTTGGCAACAGTTACTATGAATGTGTGTTCCTTCCAAATGTAGCTCAGTCTCCTCAATCATTAGAGTCCCCTGTCAGCAATTCTGCTGCCAGAAACCTACCTGGAAATGAGGTAGAGGTGGCACCAAGACCCAGTGAGACATCTTCAGTTAGAAATGCTGTTACAGAGGTCAGAGGTCAAGGACCAGTTACTTTCACAGAGCCAGCCCTTAGCAACATTCAGCAGAGGAGAAGACACAGGAGTTCTTCAACTTCAGAAGCTACATCATCATCCTCAACATCATCAGGTGCTTCTCATGCACTTCGTGTTGCAACTGTGGCTGGTGCAGAGAGAAATAGAGTTGTTGCACAACAGGCTGATGTTGAGAGAAGACTGCAACCTGCACCTCATCCCTATCGACAAGCTCAGGTATGATGCTTATTATGTACCAGAATGGTTTAGTGCATCTCTGAAAATAACCTGCATTCCAATTTGTCATTTCATAGGGTATTTAATGACACTTTCTCAGCTGCGTAAGTAATATACCACTGAATGAGGGGTTAGTGGTAAAGGATGAATTTGGAAGGAAGTTACTATAGCCATTTTTAAGTATTTGGTTTTGGAGACTGAGATGGACCATGAAAATGAATGAAACTTGGCATGTTGATAAGAGCTTTGGCATAAGGTAAAGGTAAAATTGTCCCTTTGTTTAATTTATTAAAAACCACACCATGAAGATGTACGAGGTAGTGGAGGCATAACTCCACTATTCTTGACCTCAACACTAGGTGGAGGTGAGCTGTCATCTTCATTCCCCAGCCACTTTACCCTTGGTGGAAAGAAACTAGAGTACCCATTGAGCAGGAGGCTGGGTGGGCCCCAGGTTCAGTCTGAATGCTGTGGAGAAGAGAAAAACCTCTTGTCCCTGCTGGGAATAACCCCCTCCCCCCATTCCTTAGCCATCCAGCTCATAGCTCATCACTATACTGAATACGATATCCAATATAAATAAAATCACACAATACTATACCCAATAACCCAGCTGTTTTCATGATACAGAATGGTGAAGCTAGTAGGATGCGGGTCGTTTTGGCCTTGATAGTAATATCAGTATATTCAAAAAATATATCTCCAGAACTAACAGGCATATTTCTATAAAACTTGGTTTATGTGAAATGCATACAAGAAGCTACATAATGGTATAGTAAAATTTGTTGTCTCCTGAAATTTTCAAAATATAAAAAGTAATACAAGAGCCAGGATAACGTAGTCAATATAGTGACTGGCTAGGCCATCAAGGGGTCAGAATTTCAGCCCTGGTAGGATTAAGAATTTTCTCTTCTCCATGTTGTCCAGACTGGCTGTGGGGCCTCCTATCCAATGGGTAATGGGAGCTCTTTCCCCAGGGGTAAAGCAGCAGGGGCATGAAGCTGACCACTCACCTCCAACTAGTGCCGAGGTCTGGAATACGTGGATCTATACATCCCACTCCCCCATACATCTTCATGGCATAGTGCTTAATTAGTTAACACACAAGGAAAATTTACTTATAGTGCTTTGTAAACTTGCATTAAAGTTTCGAGTTATGTAAAACTTACTGGGTAAAGAATAGGTGAATCAGATGTGAAATGAGAAACCTTTAAATGAATCATAAATAGAAAAATTGAACAAATTTTAAAAATTTGTAGTTGTAAGTACCATCTTCGCCCTGTGCACATCTACGAGAATCAGCCATTAAACTTGAAAAACTATAGTGAATGAATGGTGTGAAGGACTAGGAAAGAATTGAAAAATGTTTAAGTTTAGTAGCATTTTAACATATAACATAAGAGAACCAGCTTGGTCACATTGGTCATATAACTTAAAAAGACAGACACGGACATAAGTCAAAAATGTAAACATTGGCCAGAGTAGCAGCTGTACATTAATTTATGTAAGTAGCAGGATGATGGCCAAATAGGCCAAAACGTGTGACAGAACAAAGAAGGTGAATGAAATTAGTGCAGTTGTATATAGTATTATTTGATGGAACCTCATGTTCTAATAGGGGTCGCAAGTTTGAATCCTTCTTGGGGTGTGGGTGTGTTGTGTTTTCTGTGTCAGAAGAGGCCTTGTAATTCAGAGGACTGTCTCAGAATTAATTCTCAACTTGAATATACCAGAGAGCCCAATCTTTGATATCTTAAGAAAAGGTTTAGCATAGTGGTAAGGCAGTTGCATTCAAAATATGCAGGAGCCTTGGATGTTGAAATTATTCACCCGCAGAAGAAGAAAATGGAGAGATTTTGAAATTATGAACTGTAGAAAATAAATAAAAAATGTGTGTGCATGCTAAGGAATGCACTAATTTTAGGCATCTTTGTAAGCTTTACTAACTGCATCTGTGCAACAAAATTTATAGTTTTTGGTGAATTCTGTAATTTGTATTTTTTATAGGTGTGGTATCTTGCCTCTGTCTGTGTTATACTTTGGACAGTTCTTAGCCATAGAGGGCTAGGCTCCATTAAATTTTATTGCATGTGTGAGAAGTTTTTGTGTGTTTGTGCTCACGCACATGTGTGCATGAACCAATTCATATCAGGCATCACTTCAGTCCCTTATAATAAAGACAGAAAGAATGTCTGAAACAATTTAATTCTGTATCAACATGGATAGTTGCCCTACTCCAAACCATTTAATCACCATTAGAATGTCAGGTTTTATGTTTTACAAACTGACTTTTCCTTCATTGAGAGTGTGAAGATGTTTCTTTATGTCTTATGTTGCAGCAAGCGTCTCCGGGTGCTAATGTGGAAGTAATGGGTTCACGACGACGCACACTTAGAGAGCAGCAAGTAGTTCAGCTACGTAGAGAGATGCTACATCCTGGTGGTGTTCGTCTGCAACTACGACGTAAGGATTGTACTGGTTCTATAGCTCTGGTGGATGCATTTGGTGCAGTATGGTATGTAGAAATATGTTGTATGTTTCACTGTGGCACATTTTTAAGAAATGCATAACGATCTGTATGCTTCAGTAATCTGTCTTTTTATCCAGTCACTGTCTGCAGACTTTCAGTATGCATATGTACTAGAATCTACCTCAGATAGACCCCAGATTAACTGGAAATCTGCCTTTTCAAAAAGAATTCTCAGGCCTGGAGAATATAGGGTGAACAAAAATATGGTGTAAAATAATCTTTTCTAAACAGAAAATATCTATTTGTCCAGTCACTGTCTGCAGACTTTCAGTATGCATATGTACTAGAATCTACCTCAGATAGACCCCAGATTAACTGGAAATATACCTTTTCAAAAAAATTCTCAGCCCTGGAGAATATAGGGTGAACAAAAATATAGTGTAAAATAATCTCTTCTAGACAGAAAATATATGTCTGAATATTTATTGTCGCCATTTAACACATTGAGGACCAGTTGCATGATATCATGCTTTTGGCTTTTAAATGTGGCAGACCAGTCACATGATATCATGATTTTAGGACGTGTTAGGTTGTAACACACTATACCTTGCTCTGGCACCACCCGAATGACTACTGCATAATATTACTCCAGAATGTTTTCTGAGTAGTCAGTAACTTGACCTCGCTGTTTTGGTTCCCCACTCCAAAGGAAAATGATCTTTGACCCTTCAAGCTCTTATGTACCAGGCAGGAAGTTAGTAGTGCAACGTGTTTCAAGGAGAGAAGCGGTTGAAGACCAAGCGATCTCTCGGAGAACAAGAAATATCTGACTTGTTCTCCAATGAGCTATCTGACATGCCTTGTGAGATGTGTAGCGATGGTGACTCAGACAGTGGCAGTGACAGGGGACAACAAATAATTGTGGTCACAGACAGTAAAAGTGACAGCAGCTTCGACAAAAATGCGGGTAGTAACATTGTGGGGACTGCCACATGGGAAAAAGTAGACAAAACGCCTACTTTGGGACAGTTTACTGGAAATCCAGGGATGAAACAAATTCCATTGGACCCAACGCAAGTGTCTTGAAGTAGCAGAACTGTTTTTTGGAGATAGGGATACTTGCGTTGTGAATATGATTTCCACAATTCACAATTCGAGCATGGTTGATGTTCAAAGGAGACATGGACCAGTAAAGAAGCCTATTTGTATTTCTGAGTATAATATGTTCATGAAGGGAGTTGATAGAGCCAATCAATACTTGGCCTATTATTCTCTTCCTAGGAAAACAATAAAGTGGACAAAGAAAGTTGCCTTGTGGCTTATAAATTGTGCCATTTTCAATTCATTTTTGGTTTACAAAAATCTAAACCCTGATTCAGAATTGAAATACAAAGCATTTCTGATGAATGTGGCAAAGGCCTGGGCTACAGACCAGATGGTGGTGGCAGAATGAAAGTTAGACACTGACTTAGTGCGATCGGGCCCATCAACTCCCACCCCACGTAGTCCTTATGTGGGCCCCCCTAGGCAGCTCTTGGGTGATATGTGGAAACACCCTCATGAAAATTGTGAAGAGTGAACATTCCAAGGGGAAGCATCTTTCTAGGCATTGCCGTGTTTGCGCAGTTCACAGAAAAAGGAGTATGACTGCCTACGTTTCCAAGTTCTGTGTAATGCCACTTCACAAAGGGGAATGTTTCCAGAAATATCACACTCTCAAACACTTCTAGGAGCATTGGTAAGTGTTCTCCAAAAATTTTAGTTTATAAAATAAATTAGGAGATTTTATATTAATTTTTAAAGTGAACAGTGCACAAGTTAGGGTACTGGGTTTAAAAATGTTGGTCCCCAGGGTGATTTAAATATTTAAATTGCTGGTCCTTAATGTGTTAATTTGGTTCTGTCCTCTGCTTCTGAGAATTTGTTTCATCACAAATTGGAAAGAATTAAGCCTCCCTGTTATGTGCAGAATACAGAATACTTGACTGGATATAACAGATTGGAAGCTGAAAATGTACACGGTGTGTCCAGGATCCGTTAGGGCTCATTTTTTTAAATTTTGCCCTGCAATGCCATCTGATGGCGAGTTGTGACATTAAGATTCTTGAAGTTTCAACTGTGGCTGTCTATAATTTCAAAGCACAAGCATTGCTGCATCATGTGTTCTGACCTTGAATGTAACAGTACTGTCCTGACACTCATCGGAAAATGGCGGTTGAACAGAGAACCAACATCAAATTTTGTTTGAAGTTAGGCAAAACAGCCAGGGAAGCATACAAAATGATGAAAAGTGTGTACAGTAGTGATTGTTTGAGTCGCTTGAACATTTTTGGATTGTATGCTGTATTTCGTGACAGCAGGGAGGACATTGAAAATGCTCCACATGCATCAAAACTGAGAACAAGTCGCTCTGAATAAAATGTGAAAATAGTTACCGAAATCCTTGCATCAGACAGATGGATTGTATGAAGTATTTCGTGACAGCAGGGAGGACATTGAAAATGCTCCACATGCATCAAAACTGAGAACAAGTCGCTCTGAATAAAATGTGAAAATAGTTACCGAAATCCTTGCATCAGACAGATGTGTTTCTGCAAGACTCATTGAGGAGCTTAGGGAATACTAAAAGGTACTCTGCATCAAATTTTGACAGAGGATTTGGGCAAACAGAAGGTCTGTGCACGGTTTGTACCGCACACACTGTCAGGTGATGAAAAACATGCCATAGTGGAACACTGCAAAGACACGTAACAGTTGGCCCAAAGTGATACAAAATTTACAAAATCGATTGTTACTGGTGATGAGATATGGTGTTTTCAATAAGAGCCTCTTACAGAGCGATAGAGTGCAGCATGGTTGAGCCCAAAGAAGCCGAAACCAAAGAATGTGCGCATGTAAAAGAGTCGAGTAAAGACACTACTAACAGTTTTCTTCAATTCTAAAGGAATCATTCACAAGGAATTTCTGCCAGAAGGTCAAACAGTGAATTCTGATTATTATCTTGGAGTCCTCAATCGTTTGTGGGTGAGAATTCTTCGAATACGGCCTGAATATCGAGAGAAAGTTTCCTGGTTGCTCCTCCACAACAATGCCCCACCCCACAAATCGAAGATCATGCACGATTTTTTGGCCAGAAAAGGGATCACAGTCCTTGATCATCCTCCGTATTTGCCAGATTTGGCTCCAGCAGATTTCTGGTTGTTCCCAGAAGTTAAGTTGGCGATCAAAGGAGACCATCACAACACCATCCAGGACATCCAAAGGGAATCTACCGCAGTTTTAAATGCAATTCCACAAAAGGAGTACAGTGACTGTTTTCGAAAACTTTTCAATCAATTCTAGCTATGTATTGATTCAGAAGGAGACTATTTTGAATAAAAAGAGTGAGATTTTGAAAATAATTCATGTCTTATATTTTTAATGAACAGAAACAGAACCTGGACACACTGTGTATTATCACATGTTTAATGACTAGCCATGCGGTTTGGATTGTTAATTGGATTTATTGAAAACTTACGAATTGTTATTACAAGTAATTATAGTACTCACGGACTTTACAGTTCACTATAGCATGTGTTAAGTCTTCTCAATTTGTCTTCACTAGTCATTGCCAGGTAGAAGCTCCCACAATATAGACAATGTAGATTCCTCAGCTTTCATGTTCAGTAGCTCTTGTCCTTACTGGCTGGCTTCTGATTTCATGGCCATGGACTCCTAGCTATGTTTGTCCACCACGTGCTATCACTGTCACTTGTCTGTCTCACCAAGTCCAAGTCCAAGTCCAAGTCAAATTGCAACTGACGGTCGGTCAGTCTGTCTGTCTGTCGGTCTGTCTCTCTTGATGTCGAGCTCCAGCTGGGGCCCATGACCAGATCCCCCCCCCCATATGAAAGTTACTGTCCTGTCCATTTGGGGCCCCCTCTCTGACGAGGGATCGGGTCTGTTGTCAGTCATAGTCCGTATTAGTAAGTCCATTGTCAGTATTTACATATATTTACAATTTAATCTTAATTCCTATTTCTTTGTACAATATATACAAGGCCTCTGTCAATCCAGGCTCAGTACGGCAGATTATGCCCTATTTCTAGTAGTATTTGCTACCATGGCAGTCTAGTCACTTGAACGGTCGTATGCCTGACGGCCGCCAAGTTTCAGCCTCTTATACCTTCTGTGTCGGGCTTTGCCTTGTCCGATGTTGCGAACACTCTCATTTTCATGATTTTATATGATGTCTGCTTGTTTCCTGCATAATTTTGTTATATAGTCATATACATACAGGATTTTGAATGCCATGTGCAAATCGAGGACCGATGTACACCTTGGAAAATTGCCAGTGGTGCAGAGAACCTTATTTTGCAAGCGCTGCAATTTCACTAGATGAGTGTCTGCCGTGAATTCCCAGGCAGGACTAGCATAAGTCATTATGGATCTAATAAGAGCTTTATGGAGGGTCATTTTAATGTTAGCGCTCAATCGCTCACTTTTCAATAATGAGTAATGAATGAATGTTCTGAAGGCCTTGACTTCGATCATTTCTATGTGTAATCTCCAAGTCACTCTCTTATCGAAGATTACACCTAGATATTTTGCACTATTTACAAATGGAATATTTCTTCCATTTAGATTAAGACAAGACTCAGGTGGTTGATGACCACGAGAGAAGTAGACCCCCCTAGTCTTATCTTCATTAATTTTTATATTCCAGCGCTCACACCAGGTCTCCATTGAGCTAAGACCATGCTGGAGTTTTCTAACAATAAAACCCTCCTTGCGATCTGTCGCATATAGACAGGTGTCGTCCGCAAAGAGGGCCAGGTGAACAACATGTGTTTGGGGGCATCATTTATATACAAATTGTAAAGCGTAGGGGAAAGGACAGAACCTTGTGGCACCCCTGCTTACATTTCCTGGCATTGACATTTCGCCTTCAACCAAGACCCTGAATTTACGTTTAGAAAGAAAGTACCCAATAAGCTTGATCAAACTGTTTGAGAATTCCAGTTTTGATAACTTATACAGCAAGCCTGAGTGCAACGTGGTATCAA